TACACATTTTTTTCTTTTTAAAAAGGCAACTCCCGTACGTGTGTGACTTTACAAACATACATTAAATGGACGGGCCTTAGAGAATAGCACTGCTAGTTGAAAAGCCAGTCAGTTCAAAGGTGTGTATTTAATACATATTGTGAACACGTCAATTCTCGTAGCCATATATATGCATGTAATGCGTATAATGTGTGTAATTCTCATACGTATCCATGTGTATGTAAATATAATTTTCACAATGCCTTATTTATTAATAATCTTCTTTATTTATTTCTGTTAGGATCCTTATTTTTATTTTTTTAGAATTACTACTAGTACCAAAGCCTTAAATTAGAATGTTTTAGAATAATTCACTATCCTATTTGTAATAAGTATTCCTTTCGACAGTTGATGAAGAATACACGGGTAGATTTACTTAATTCTGTCGCACTCAATCATATTGTTTAACGCGCTGAAGTGACTTGCTCAACCCTGGAGCCGGCCGCCGGCACTCGGCACGCCGCGCCGCTGCCGGCTAGAGGCGTCAAATGTCGTTTAACAGCTCCCCGTCGCCATTTTATTTTTTGCCCCTGAGCCTTTCCCGCGCCATCATAAAATTTTGTTATTAATACAGTAAAATTTCGGATTAGGTAGTATTAAATTCGAAACAAAGCAGGGATTTAATTGGTAATTCGTGTCCGGAGACGATATTTGTATGCCATATCCGTTCGTTTATTGCTGTCGGTTGTAAAGCTGATTTGGGACGGCGTACATTTGTATTGTGGCCGCCATTCAATTAGCCAGTGAATTTTTAATGAAATGTCACAGTGCACGGGTGTAATTAAATCGCGTTCTGCTAAAAATAGGAGATTTATACGTGGCCGCTATTGTTTGACACAATCAATGAACATTTTATAACTGTGAGCTATTAAACTTGAGTTTGGTGGCTGCTTGGAAGGTATATCATTGATTAAATTACTTATATGTTTATTAACAGAACTCTTTTAGTCTCTAATGTAAATTCAGCACAAAAGTTGAAAAATTTGATCAAACTTAATTCATTTTAGACTTATTGCTAATACTATGACTAGTGCACTATATTTTATATGCTTAGATGTATTTTTACAAACGTCCATATCTTATAAATAGGTCTTATAGTAAAAGTTTTATATTTATTATTTACCAGCCAGCCTCTAATCATTTAAAAGCCAAAATACGTCAAACGGGTATAAATAATACAACATATTTTATGAACAAACCAATTTATTTTCTATATTTTGACCAATATATCTAGTATTTAAATAGTTATTGTGTAAATTATCACTAGTTTGTACAGATGTTTAAATATAATTACCTATACATCAATGTTTGAGGAAAATATTTAGGTGTAAAATAACCGGATCAAACGCGATTGGGGCGGACTAGGGTTACGAAGCTGGTTTAACATCATCAATTAAAGTTAGGCAAACTTATGTAAGTTTAAGATGATGTGACAGCTGATACAAAATTCTAATTTTTGTGACATTTTTTAAATGGAAATAAATGTTTAAAGAAATACTAATGGAAGATTTATAAACAAAAGTAATTATCTTTGCAAAAGCAACACAACTCCTTTAACGTTACAACTTTCACGAAATTGGTTTTAGTAAACCAGAAATACCGTCATTTTGCAAAACTAAAGGGTCTACAAAAGGAGCGTTGGCTAAGAATTACCTACTTGTACATTAAAGATAAACGTCGAAGCAGATCTCAGACACGGCTGTTTGAGCTAAAAGTAGGCAGAGTCTCTACTATAGTAAACAGAATGCTGATAAACATTCTTATATATTATAAAATATATACATATTACATATCTATATAATACATACATAATTATCTGTGTGGTGACGGATTAAGAATACAGAGTGTCACCACCCCTCTTCATCCCGTGGGTGTCGTAAGAAGGAATAAACTAGCCGTCTAGCCAGTGTGGTACAGTAGGCCAAAACCTCCTTTCTAAGGAGAGGCCTATGTTCAGCAGTGGACTAGTAAAGGCTGTTGATGATGATGATACATTATTCTTGTATTTAATACACTTTTCTCCACCCCAATCGCGCTTATAATTATATATAATAAAGTACACGGGGTTGATAGTATATAAGTAAAATTGAAAAAAAAGTTGTACGCAACAGCATCAGCAATGTATGTTTCTTAATATTACTTTTTAAAAAGCTCGTCTTGTATAACTAGGACAAAATATAATAGATACTTATATTCTGTCAAGATATTTAAAATTTAAGTACATTTTAATAATCATTATTAAGAATATTTACACCTGTGGAACTATGTTTAAATACTCTTCTGTGTTTGTATGTATATACTAGTACAATATCTACAATAATGTATGTGATAAATGCGGAGCTGAACATTTTTCCCAACAACATACACGAGTACTATGAAGCCATCTGCTGATATGCAACCACTTACTCACTAATTATTCAACGACTGTCTGAGATTATAACTCTAGTTATAACTATATGTATTAGATACTACAAATAACCTTAGATCATCTCAGCCAAGTTGATCAGTGGCTTTGGTTTCAGATGAACGTTTTGTCGGATTAGCTCAGCATTTGCGAATTATTTTACTTTGTAAATAGTTGTCAGAGTATAGATCTAGTAATAAATATCAGTTTATAAGCATACAGCTTTGAGGTGGCTTAGTGGGATCCGCCAGGTTAGTTATGTTCAGTAAAAAAATATTCGAAAACCACACTACCAAATTTTCATAAATCTTTGCTTTACTACTAGCTGAGTGCCACACGAGTATTAGTGAAAGAGTTAGGCCCGTATTTTAAAAGACGTCTCAAGTATCGGTTGAACTCGGATTTTTTGAAATTTGTTTTAAGTTCAGATCAAAATAAAAGCGTCGATCTTATTATAGAACGCGTTTTAAGTTTTACTCAGTTGAAACTACTCTCAAGAATTGATTTGAACTTACGAGTACAGTCTGTTTTCAATTACGTTTCCGCATGCTTGATATTATTATTCGAGATTTTGATTTAAATAAGTAATTGAATGTCAATTTAAGTGATTTTAATATTAATTAAGGTAAATTGATTGAGTGGATTCTTTCGTTAATAAGGTTAAGTAAATCTTTCGTAATTATTCAGAAAGAAATAATTGTAAAACACGTTCATTTCCTATAAAATGCTCTAAAAATCACTGCTTGAGACTAGTTGCAGCTTATCTCACTTAATCAAAGATCACATCTGTCAAAATCTATTTTTGAGTAAAGATTTCGACATAAACATCGTTCTAAAATACTCACTCAAAGCTTTCACTCACTTTAATATGGATCGGTGAATCTTGTTTTAAGTGACGTTCGCTAATAAAATCTCTCCTTAAAAACAGTTTAAGAATTAGATTCGCGACTAAGACACCTTTTAAAATACGGGCCTTAGTCACCCTGTTGTGAGAATGAACAAAAGTATTTTAAAGCCAATAACCTTATTCGAAATAAATTTAGAAAGTTAACCAAAATTTAAATACTGAAAAATCATTGTAAGGGCTCAAAAGTTATGCTCGAAATGACCATTAAATTACATAGAATCGTTTCATCTAGATCTTTGTTTATTTATTTATATTTTCATGTCGCATTAAGTAGATAACACATTAAGTGTTTAGTGACATATTAATTATCACTAAGCTGTTTATCGTAAATCATCCACCACGATAATAATAAATTACTAATGTTATGTTACTAATTCTTTTTTAACTTTACCGCATTTCTAAGAGATTTGTATGTCACGAATTTGTAAAATTGATATCAAGAATCAAGAGCAAATCCAATTTCCATTGTGAGACAATAACAAGAATAAAAGTTTAATGAATGTAAATAAATCCTTTTTTGTTAACATACATTTCTTTTCGGAGATAAGAAACTTTAAATGAAGATAATTAAGCTCATTCTAATATCATATTATAATCTATAACTTTGTTTCGTCTGTTTTTAAAGAAGCTTGATATTTTTAACAAATGTAATTGAATGAACCTAAAATTTTCATTGTTTCTTCATATATTTGTCAATAATTTATGGTCACTATCAAGTTAAACTTTTACAAAAACACAAAACGGATTTAAGTGTTTAGTTTTTTTTTTAATATATAATATTAAGAAGTATTTTGGGTTAGGGTTATGATGTTAAAAGAATTATAATACATACCCGTGTAATGTTTGGCCTTGGGATTCATTTATTTTTATTTAGACACTAAAGGTTACATTCTGAGTTTTTAGATTGGAACGTATTGTTCATTAGAACTATGATTAATATAGATATAAAAATCATTTCAAAGTTGAGCTGATCATTAGCTAAGCAGCTACAATCTGCTATGATTGTCTCAGTTTCGATTGTATAGTTTGACGGTACGGAACATGTTCCAAATCGCGCTTGTCGAATTCATTATGATAATTTATGATGGATCCAATTCATTCTTGTTACACGTAATTGCCGTCTTGCCCCCACTAACCTGACATCGGCAGTCACCCAAATAATTGAGTAATAAAATGTAAAGCTCCGCTAAATAACATAACCTATGTATATCTTACACTCGATAGAATTTACAACAATATAATACTTCTTTTATAAACAATATAATTATACAACTATTAGCGGTCCATTTCACATTATCACTTTCACTGAACAGATCCGGACTTTGGATGCACCTACATATGTTAGCCATATTGCATCCATGCACTTTAATTTCGACGGTGGAAAGAAAAAACAAATGAAACGCCACTTCTGTCGAAAATGATTTTTATATACAGGCTCATAGAGTTTTGGATTCTCTATCGAGGTATATGTAAAACTCATTTTTAGTTTAGTTAGTTTTTCCTTTCCACCCTCGATCTTAGTCTACTAATCTCAGTCGCGAATATTGTCAAAATCACTTCCACCATAAGTTGACCACGTTTATCACTGACACTACACTCAGTTGGTGGTGATGAGGATGATTACCGGTCGTGATTGGTGGCTCGCATGTGTCAAAGTGCGTGCGCGTGCGCATGGTGGGGCGGTGGGGGCTGCTGGTGGGGGTGGGGCAGTGCGTGAGGATTGCTTGCTGTATGCTGTCGACCCTGGTGACAAAAGAGAATATATTTTAACACATTCATTGCGTTGAAAGTAACTTAGTCTATGCTAGAAGTTATGTAAGGAATCGTACCTATGCTAGGCGACAAATTCAGGTGTGTTGAGGAGGAGAGATATTCAAAATACCATACTTACAAGCGGCTAAACAAAACAAACAAAACCCCTGGGTTACAGGGTCTGGGAAGGGCTTTGGTTTTCGTCACGTAGTCAATATAAAAAAATAAATGGCAATCATACATTGATTGCCATATATTTTTTTATATTGACTAATTTTAAATTAATTGACTAATAAAGAAGAACATGAGACATTCTTTTTTTCTTTAAATAAAAATAATTTACTGTTAATATTATGAATTACTCTTTATGAAGGCCAATACTCGCAATAAAAGTTCGGTCACAATTCAGTTCCGATCAATTCTAGATTTCGCAACGTAAAATACTAAAGTATTACTAAGACTAGCAGATTACTGATTCAATTTTCGGTTACAATACGATATTATCACCTTACAGCCCACGCTGGATGTTTAGTACTTTACTGCAAAAAAACCTTTTATGACAATTGTGAAATCGAGAGTTGATTGGAACTGAATTGTGACCGAACTTTTATTACAAGAATGAGCCTTATGAGGGGGTTTTTGGCATATACTACGGATGGTCACCAGTCACCGGTCACCAGTTAATATCTGCTGAGCAGTGATAAGATTTTACCTGAAGATATACGTAGTAGTCATAAGGCTGGTGTAGCGGCCAGCACCTCTGCGGTGGAACAGGGTATAAGGGTGGGACTGGGTACAGAGCGCCCCCACCCAGTTTGTTGCGCAGGATTCGACTGATACTAGATACTGACGGCACATTATACTTGTCACATACGCCGTCAGCCAATAACCTGTCACGGATCTCCCAAGCGAAAATGCCTGGATCTTTCGCTTTGAGCTGTTTTATGTAAGACACCACCTGAAAAACACAAATACTAAAGTAATCTTGTTTTGTTAAAGCAACAGCTGTGTAGTGTGCAGCCATAGTTTGTTTCTTATGGAATATATGGTAAAGGAGCAGATGGGACACCTGATGACACAAGAGACACAAGTTTGAGTCTTTGAGCCCCATTTGAGCTCCCCAAAATCAATGTAATGGGTTTGTGCTCGGAACGAAGGAGTTGCTTAACACAAGTATTCTGAACGGCCGTGGCCGTGGTCGTTTGTGCTCTCCCAAGGTTAATCAGATCGGCTGAAATTGCAAACTTCATTCCTTTCCCATCCCTTCTTTAATTATGCTATATTATTTAATATATAAGTAACTCGTGTCACAGTGTTTGTGTTTGCACTCCTCTGAAACACTTTGACAAATTTCAATTATTTTTTTCTGCGTATATTTGGTAGGTATGAGAATAGGTCGTAAAATATTTTTCCCCCCCTTTTTAATTGTGATTTTTTTACTTTCGATTTCTACTTATGTTCGATTTCTTTGATAATTTATATTGCAGAACAACGTTTGTCGGGTCGGCAAGTTATTACATAACTTTTTTAACACTGTCAACTTAAAGTTACAATACCACTGCCGTTACGTTAATGGCCTTCACTTTTAGATAAACCGTCTCATTTCATACGCAATATTCAGTGACAACTTGGTACTTGGATAATCATGTTTTTAAATATTCGCAACTGCGCACAAAGTGCCGGGTCAAAGGTTATTTGTCACTAACGTGATAAAGAGGGGCACTATAAGTGCCAACTCTGATATTATCAAATGACGACACAGGTTGAAATTTAAAGAACATGCTTGAACGTGATGTACAAGAATGTTTGATAAAAAAATATACCTGTCATAAAAAAAATGGTATTTTGCCAATGGCGTCTAATAGTTCTCTGAGTAAAATAGCTTGAGGTAAGATTCAAGAACTCATTTACTATCATGATTTAGCGGTCAGGTCAGGTCTGCAGATCAGGCACTCTCTAGTCATAAACTGAAACCCAATACTTACTATCCAAAAACTGTTATGGTCTTGTTCTTTCCTCTTAAAAGAATACTCAGTTGCAGTGGAAGGAGGGGTAAATAATAGATACCTTGGGTGTGGTAACTCTTGGTTTTGAACCACCAATGGCTCCGGGCAGGATGGAGCCGGTCTCGTGATACCTCGCCAGGATCTTTGACACACATCCGTGAGATACTCGTAACTGTCGACTTATGTCACAAGGCCTGGTGGCAAGCAAACATACGAAATTAAGGAAATCTATTGTTTAGAGTAATAATAATAATAATTCCTTATTATACACCAACAAATTCTAACTAGAGGTCGCTTGATATTTGAAATTCGACCTAAATTCATATGTTTTAAATTTCTTTTTCATTCTAGTGTTACATAATTTGAACTGTCCTAGTACTGATTTTATACTCGTACACACAACGCCATCTAGTTTCAAACTAAGCAGAGCTTGTACTATGAAAGCTAGATTCACCGATGGAATAAATATATACTTTTTTTGTAAATATATAGAAAACAAAAACTCCGAAACAATATTTGCAGATCATACAAACATTTGGTCAGGCCCGGGGTTCGAACCCAAGACCTCAGCTCAGCAGTCGCATACGCTACCTACTGTACCAACAAGGTATGTTGTTTAAGTTTTCGCTCTCCTGTGCTTCTTCTACATTCTTTCTGCTTAAAAAAGCGTAGGTACAAAGAGAACCCCTCGGTAATCTCACTCAAAGTGAAAATCAAGGAAAGAGAATGCTTAAAAACCGGTTTTCTGTGATACCAGTGTTGTGCCGAGGCATGGCTCTTCCACGCTGCCAAACTAGAAACCACAAACACATGCACTTGGTTACTGGAGTTGTTCTCTATTGTTAAGAATAAGTGCTAAGTACATATTTTTAAAATATAAATTATGTTTTACCTTATTCCTAATTGCGCTAGCTCCACTATCCGTAGCCTGACGGCATTGGGTAAAGGTCGACCGTTGACGAACACTCCTCCCAGTTGGTTCACCTCCCCGTACTGCTGAGTCCCAGAGCCAGGCACGCCAGGGTTGCCCATGGCAGCTGCGCTGGGATCTGGAGACAAAGATGACTTATCTTAGTACAAAAGTCAACTTTTATATCTACTTTAAGCAAACTTAGGTAACATTACATGACAATAATAGTATGTCAATAATTATATAGTTTTCATTTAATTTTAATGTGTGCCTCGTTATCTCACTTTAAATGTCTCAGACAATGATTCGAACATTTTATGTATATAATATCTGTACTATATACAGGCTGTAAGGGACGTCATAACGAATATTGAAGTAGTGTATTCAGTCCATCATTCTGGGTCGAAAATCATTGAAATTTTCAGCCTAGAAAACTAAACTAAACTAAATCAGCTGTCAAAGGTTACGGTGAAACAAACACTCATTTTCCGGCAGAAAATTCTAATGATTTTCAACTCAGAATGATGGTTCCAATTGACTATTTCAGTATTCGTTATGACGTCCCTTACACACTGTATCATCACCATCAGCCTATCGCAGTCCACTGCTGGACATGGGCCTCTCCCATTGCACGCCAATTAGATCGATTGTGGGCTTCTCGCAACCAGCTCCTGCCAGCCATCTTGCGCAAATCGTCACTCCACCTGGCCTGTGGGCGTCCTACACTATGTTTGACGTGACGCGGCAAATTTATATCGATGGCGGTATCTCCATCCCAATAGGCGTAGCTAAATACAACAGACCGGTGACTGGTAGCAGCGTCACCAGTGCGACAAGCTACGCCCTGCGATCGTCAACCCGCCTGCCAGCGTGGCGATTATGGGCAAATCCTCCCCACGCAGACGCAACACACTGTATACTACTTACATAATGTCTACTCATATATTTCACTTATTCACTTGCACATAAACGATCACGCCTAAAGGGGTAATAAATTTCTGCCTCGAAAGCCTCGTGCCTCGTGGACCGCAAAAGTAGGGTACTTTTGTAAAAAATACTAGTGACTCGCTCGGGCTTCACACGTATCTATGTAAATACATCATTTTTAACTATCTCTTAAGATTTTTCCTAAAAGGTCGTTGATAAATAAATAAGAATTCAGTATTATGTTTTCAGTGGCCTGGTTGCAAAATAAGGGTATCTACTTAATAATAAAATTAATTAGGGTTTATTTTAAATACATCCAAACTTTCCTTAAAAATTTAACTGGACGTGATAATCGCGTCAAAATGTGTTTCATGGTTTAGAGCTTTAGGACCGACTAGTAGTGAAGAAAGTTTAAGTATGTATGTACCTATGAAAGTTGACGGATATAAGAGTAGAGGATGACTAAAGAAAAGATGGATGGACTGCGTAAGGAAGATATGGCTAGGAGGGGTATAAGCAGTACACTGACAAGTGATAGAGGTGAACAGGAGAATAAAAGTTCTTTTTTTTTATGGAATAGGGGGCAACGAGATGGGTCACCTGATGGAAAGTGATGACCGTCGTTAACATACTTAAGTTATTGCGCCGGCTCCAAATAAATTTTGTGAAGAGGCACAAGAAGACGATAAAATGTGGAAATTGTCAGTTGTAGATAAACTTTAGTGTTTTGGCTGTTTCTAAATTATACATTTTTTTTATAATTATAATTATTATAATCCTAAGATTAAGGAATTATTAACAGGTTTTTATAATTAATATATATAATTACATTTTTTCGTCAAACTAAAAATAAAAATATTTGCAAATTGGGTACCTATCGTGTGAATACCAAAGTAATTTACTTAGTTAACTTATTTTTTATACGTTCGTAACCTACCCATATTAAAAATCTAGATTACCTTAAATTAATTTCTTAATTGCATAGTTATTTATTTAAAAAAAGAGAGGCAATTTGCAAGTCCATAATCATGGATGCTATTGCCTTTTATTACAAAATGATAACCTAACTAACCCTGCGCGTGCGCTAGTCCTACGTGACGTCACTGAAATTTCCGTTTAGTGCCGAGTCGAACGTCACCTGACACCTACTTTGATGTGTCCGATCCGAGCGCGAGTCGTTCCGTGAACGCCGCGCTGCGGACGGACAGACGACACCCCGTCGTTAACTTACCTTGTTAGTATTTATATTTTATTTGATATTTTATACTAAAACACTGACCCAGACTTAAAGTGTTACATTGAAAAAGTTAACAGTAGTTCAATACAAAGATATATTTATAGGATTTTTTAAATGTCACATCACTTCAGAACGGCTGCAGTTATTTCTTTAATTCGAGAATTTGAATTTATTTCAATTTAATAATTATAAAATGTGCGTTTTCATACAAAAACGTGAGTGCCTGAGACAGAAGCCAGTGAGAAGTTCTTTAAAACTTTTTCAGTAGTGAAATATTGAAGTTCAATTGTTATTGTTGTTAGGTTTTGTTTTGAAAAAAAGGAGTAACATGTAACAGAAAGAGGTATGGACTTAGAGCCGCGCCGCCCTGTAGCAAGAAGATACACTTAATTAGTCAGCTTTTCAACGTCCAACGTTACACAGGTGCTAGACTTCCTGTACCCACCACCTCTCGGTGTGAAAACATTTCTCTGTAATAACCAACAAACTTACATAGTTTATTAATATAATGCAAAACATCATGTACTTTGTTCCGTGCCTTGGCATAAACCCAAATTGGTTTTGTATTATCGCACACTCTTGCCACTGAGTTTTCTGTATCTCTCCACTTCATTACCTAGTAGATATTTCTTTTGATAATGCGTTTTTCTTTCGTTTCCACCACATTCTATATTTTTACCACCACTTTTTCCCTAAAACTTCTTGTAAACAGAGAATACTCGGTTGGAATTAAAAAAAAAACAATTTGTAATTCTCCATAGACACTTCTTATTTTAAATAGTTCATGGTTATCATACTTCTGTTTTCAAATTAAGGAGTTATTCTACTGTATCTAAATATTAACAAAAACATATTTCCTATAAACATATAAAAGAAGAAAAAGCATTAATATGAACCGCTGACACTCTTAATGTCATATTTATAAAATATCGCGATGAAAACTGTTCTAACTGTCACAGTCGTAGTTTCAAGTTGCATCCGCCCAATGAACGTCACTCACATCATTTTGACGCGTTTTGACAAGTTGACGTAGCGTCTACTGTGACGCACTGTCAATCTGACAGGTATCGCTTTGGTGACAGTCGACAACAAATGACTGAAAGGTGAGATGGCTGGAAATACATTTCAGTTTATTTTCACATACAGCTAATAGGAAACATATATCATGGAAGGAATGAGATGAGTATTACTTACTTGTAATAAGATGCAACGATCTGTCGGTGATGGAAGTGATAATTGGCTCTAATGGGTTTTAAGTCGGTTGTTATTGTTCACTTCTTATTTGTAACATGTAATTTATCCATCATCTATCCTTTGATACACCTACTCGCTTTAAGTCTGCTTCATTTTAATCATCATCATCATCAGCCTATCGCAGTCCACTACTGGACATAAGCCTCTCCCATTGCACGACACTAAGATCGATTTTGGAATTCTCGCATGCAGCTCCTGCCTGCCATTTTGCGCAAATCGTTTATTTCAATTTTTTGTTACAAAAAGTCAAAACGTCGGGTTACCAAACGTGTGGTCAAAACGTCGGGTTACCAAATAAGTTATGTTTCTTAAAAAATATAATAATAATAATAATATATTTTACTACATTCACACAACGCCATCTAGTCCCAAACTAAGCAGAGCTTGTACTATGGCTACTAGACAACTGATATAAATACATATATACTTTTTTTTAGTAAATACGTACAATTATACATAGAAACACCCAGACCAAATCAAACATTAAATGTTCATGCACAAAAATGTTTGACTTGAGCGGAAATCGAACCCGCGACCTTTGGAATAGCAGTCCGTTACACAAACCACTATGCCATCCGGTCGTCAACGCGATTAAGTATTGATAGACATAATCTGGTTAATTGCATGAGTTTCAATTAACAAATACTAAGAGAGCTTGGTGAAGAGACTAGTTCTCTCCCTCCAGAGTCCCGACAAGGTAAGGGAATTCTTAAATTTAATAATGCTCTAAATCACAATGAAATTAACGAAACCCTGTTAATTTTTTGTATTAAAGAAACTCAAAGAAGAGCGAGAGAATTTAAAGGAGAATTTCACCCTGAAGGGTGAAATTTCTTCTTTTAATTTTAAATTGGACCAAATGAGAGTTTGACCAAACCTCCTTTCTAAGGAGAGGCCTATGTCCAGCAATGGACTAGTATAGGCTGTTGATGTGATGATGATGATGAAATGAGAGTTATATATACCCTTACATTAGTCTTTAAAATTTGTTTTTTCCAGAACGTCTTATAAATGACAGAGTTCTTTCTGAGGTAACAAACATAAAAAAATACAAAAGTATTGAAAACTTACTCCTGTTTTTGATTTAGTTAAAAATATATTTCTTTAAATAGGTAAAATTAAGTTCTAAATAAAATCAATACGAGAATATTAGAGTATAAAACATTTACTTACATAAAAACAACATACAGAACTTTAAAAATGAATCATCTAAACAGTAACGTTGACAGTTCAGTGACAGTTTTGAATCATAAATATTTCTACTTCATATTTCTCCATTTTTGACTTAAGATTTACAAGTTAGTTCCGTGAAATATCTTCATGACACCACATAAGTCAGGCCAGCACCGGGTTAGACAGCAGCCCAACCAAAAAAGCCATCGCGGCCCTCCTCACTCGTCCGCGTACAAATTGGCTGAACAGTGTACAAAATGCTTGACTAATGTCCTGTTGTCTATATAGTCGTGTTGCAAACGTCGAAATAACAACAATGAGTCTTGCACTTGCACGCTAACAGTTTATTTATATGAATGTACCGATTTAAAGGTGTTTTGAGGTGGTGATATACCGAGCCTAAATACCATAGACTTAAAAAGAAGCAGAAAGAAACATTTGTTATATAAGATATAAGACTGTCAACCTCTTGCATGACAAGAGTCCTTCGTTTTCGTTTGGCTGTATTATGCTTATTTATTTTAGTTATTCTTATTTGTTATTTTATT